AATGCGTCCGTCCTCCATCTTGTTTACTTCGGCATAGTTTTGGAGCGCAAAAACACGGCAAAACGTACAGAAAAGAGAAAATACACAACAGGGGAAGTCGTGGAGGCTGAAAAAGACGAGACAGCAGCTGACCTGGTGCTATCTTCAAACAGAGACTGTTACAACGAGTGGCTCACAGAAAACAAGTGAGTGTAGTGCAAAGAGTATGTGTGCAGGTTGAGTTATAAAATAAATACACAGTTTGCAGTGTTTGTTGTTAATGTGAATTGTAAATATATATTTAAACTTGCCCATAACACTTGTTTTGATATAGTCTTATTTCGCTTTTTACGAAAAAAATATATTTTATTTAGTTTTTATGATGAAATATGAAATTCTATAACTAATAGAGAGACTCTGTGTCCAGAAATGGATTCCTCTGGCTATAAGCTTTCAATCGAGCCCTCACTGATGTCTGTAGGTTCAAGCATTCAGAAGATATTGCACTTTTTCCTTATATTTTCAGTGGTGTCCAATTTGGATAGATGTGGATGAAACAAAAGTCCCTCAATAAAATGCTGTACCAGTATAAAAATTACTGTAAAATTATCAGTTTTACAGATATTGTTTTCAAAGCAATACAAGTTTTTCTATTGGCTCACTGTGTGTTTTAGTTCCCACCACTTAATGTTGCTTTATGCTCCTTTATTTTCAAGAAAAAACTTAGGCGAGGGTAAAAAAAAATAAAAACTATTCTGTGATGATTGAAATAGAATAACTTTTTACTGGTAGCACCGAGAAAGATTCTGATTGCTGTGGCTAAAACTAGAGAGTGTTATCTTTACAACAAAAGTCAAACTTTCTATACACTCCATAAGGATTGTTGTGTATAAATATATTATATCATGTGTGAAGTATAGTCCTTAAGGTTTAAAATATAAAAGAAGTTACATATATGCACATAGTCATGAAATGTCTTCTTTTGAAGAAGTTGCTTGGGTCTGTTTCTTTTCTGGTTTCACAGGACAAGCAACAGACGGAGGAAAAGAAGTCCATATAAGGATGCAACCATTCAGTGTGATGAAGATGGGCCCCAATCAGTTGTTTTACGACCTGAACAGGCATCACGTGAGTTAGTAGTAAAAAAGAAGGGTCAGAGGCAACAGGAGTAGTCTTGCTTTGTCTGATGCCAGGGAGAGTTTGACCCAGAGTTCTGTAATGCAATATTCAATGTGTAATTAAATGGATTGATTGAGACCGAATTGAATCCGATCTCATCTTTAGAAACGAACACGCAGAGAAGACAGTAATTCTCCAATAGGGTCAATAACAGCATTCATTTTAATTTGGAGATGTCATTTTACAGGCGGTTGCATTGACATGACCAGGAATATATATATTTATAATTATTTATTTATTTACATAGTTATATTTCTCAAATATCCACAGTGTTCTCACCTCATCAGTGCAATATATTTATTCTTATTTGTCTTTTATACTTGTATTTTGCACCAATGGAGTTGTCTTTTGATTTCGTTGTACTTTGTGTATGATGACAATAAAAGCATTCTGTTCTATTCTCTA